TGTCAACCGACTGGCTTTTTCTGCGTAACGAGGAGGTCGGGTAGTGGGTAGTTGAGAGTCGACCAATAATTTTCGATGGTTGCATTACTTTGGCATTCCATTTTTGTAGTGGGAGATCAGGACTTTGCTATTTTATAACAAGAACTGACTTACTTTTGTGACCTAATATTAGTCACTTTTAGCTCATAAGTCTAGTTGCTGAGAATATCAGATTTGAAGGGGCTAAATTTTCTAGTTTTTATCTCCGGTGGCTAGACTTCTTGCTGTCCCGGTCTTTTACGTGCAGTTAAATTTCTTTGATGGTAATGCTAGTTATTCACTGATAAACTGGCATGCTGTGGTTGCACATGAGTCGTATTTGTTGTTTATGCTACAGAATTTGATTTTTTCGTCTTGGAAGATTACTTGAATTGAAAATGTCGAAAGATGGGTGAAATTTTGGATCAATCTTTCCAGCCTTCTCGTTAAAGTTTAACGAAAGTGAAGATTAAATCACTTGTGAGTGCTGCTATCATGTCATACGAACGGATTTCAACTTTTTTTTTTCTTCTATTTTAGACGATTGTCTTTAGGAACATACCACCCCCAGAATTCCGCTGTTACTAGTGAACTCTTGATGCACACCGATAAACTGCAAGAGTTCCCGAATGTCTGGGGACTTTGGTAGTGCACAGGTCAAAACCACCTATCACTTTCTAATATACGCTTAATAATTACTCAAAAAATTCAAAGTTTCCACATATTTTTAGGAAAAGCCCACTTTTCTGCAACTGCTTCGATTAATGTACTCTGGGAGAGTTGTATCGCTGCATATGAGCTCACTTTTTCTGTTGCTCGAATTTAAATCTTCATGCTTAGTCTCTTTTGCTCCATTGTTTGATACAGTCTTTACTTTGCATTTACCGGTTTTACCTTCGTTTGGTGCTTTGGATGCGCATTTGTAGCTGTCAAAGTTGTTCTTTGAGATGGGATTTATTTGGATGTTAAAGGAGGTGTGCTTTCTCATATGTTCATTTACGTACAAAGTTCCTACGAACTGCTTTTTTTGTGGTGTCCAAGTGTTTTTTTTTTTCTTCTGAAGCTTTAGTGGATGATGACCACGTACACAATAGCTGTCTAGTAAAACTTCGGTAGACTTTTTTGCCATTTCTTCAAGAACAATCACCTTCCTAAACTTGAGCAGTGAAAATTCTAGAAAAGTAAAGCGTGGTCCGCTGTAGACTAACGTACCATGTGCACTCACCATTGATTAAATTACCCCGTATTTTTTCGTTTCAGTTGTATTTCATTTATGGTGTCAAAGCAATGACTTACTTTACGAACTGGGACGAGTTTGGAAAAGCGGTTGAACGGCTTTACCTGAGCAATCCGGCGCACTGCAGGTATCTTTATTTTCATCAGCTTGAAGTAATGTTACTGTTTTTACGATTAGCCGTTACTTTTTATAATACTAGTCGTATTTACGTGAATGTGGAGCTATTTTCTTATTGGAAGTTTGGCATATTTTTATTTCCAGGTTCGTTACAAAGTATGACCACAAAAAAGGGAAAATAGTCATAAAAATGACTGACGACATTGTTTGCTTACAGTATGGCACAGATCAGTTACAAGACGTAAAACGGCTGGAGAAGCTCACCGCGTCTCTGATGCGGAACATTGTAGCTAAATAATTTTGAATTTTCGTTGCACAGATGGTTTTGCAACACTGATTATAATTCTGGGGAGAATGTTTTTTTTTTCTTTTTTTTTTTTGTTTTTGTTTTTGTTTTTGTTCGTAATTGATTAAATGTGCATAGTTTTTGGAGCGGTATCTATGGTTTTTCTTACTTATGTACGGGTGTTGATTTTTATTTGGTTTTTTGGTCTTAACTGCAATTCAGAAAAGAGAATAAGCTTTCGATAACTGAGTATAAATTTTTGCGAAACTGAAATCATCTTAATGAGTTTTCGTGCGATGAGAGTTTGGATTTCAATAATCCGTGTTGTAAAAAATGAATTTGTCTTTTTGAACCTCTAGTTATGCTAGAACTTTACTGGTACAGTAATTGTTGGCGAGTTGTTGTTTGAAGTGAAACATTCTTGTCGACGAATTCGTTGAAGTGTTTTACTTTATTTTTTGCTCTTAAGTGTTCTCAGAAAAAATTGACTTCTGGGAAAGTTTATAAATCTGGATTGCGGTCCGACTCTCTTCTCATTCTTTGCCAGATTTTTACCTAGTTATTTCTAGTTGACTTTTGAGGCAATACGTAGATCCATGAGACAAGTTTAAGACAAGTTCCGCATCGAAACTCATGAAGTTAATGGTGATTTTCTTGCCTGAAATTATCAGCTGTTGGAGTCCGTGGTTGTACCGTGTTTTGAGTTTCCTTTTTTATAAACACTGGACACTTCCGGTTTGAAGGTTTCATGCGCAGTGTGCTTCCAGTATTTGTTTCATTTTTTTCCTCATACCAGTTCTGTTAATTTTTCAGAATATGGGTTTGACAAAGTACAAGTGACGTGTTGAGTGTCGAGATTCTTTCACGCATTTTTTCTGGATAAAAGTAGCTTTTGGAATGCATTGCGAACTGTTTACTAGTAGTATCTCTGTTCTTATTTTAGGGGTAGTAAGGATAAGGGCCGAAACGGTCAAATTTTGTTGTAACGAATTGGCTTTTCTCTGCTGTGTGTAGAAGATATAAATTTACACCAGAGTCTACGGTTAGATTGTCGGGTTCATCGTTATTAGAAACGGGTGGGCAATTTTGTGAAGATATTCGTCTGTTGAACTTGGTGTAATTGAATTGAACTGAAGGTTTACAGTATCAACAAATCAATGAGAATATCTGTAATATCGCCATTTAAACTGATCGTTCGTGCTCTAAACGTTAAACAGGATTTGATAAATCAGTTCGTTGATAGTGGCACAAGGTAGTTGGGTTGTTGACATCCTTGTTAAAAGATGGCGATGGCTTGGAGAGTTTCAGAAGTTTTTTTATATGAAGTTACAGAGTGCTTTTATAATTCTAGCAAATATAACACTAAGAGTTCTTGGTTTTCTAGTGTTAGGAAGGAACTGAAATGCAGCTTGAAATGTAGTGCTGGTTGGATTGCAAGTTTATTTCCTTCATATTAAATGCTTTTTCTGACTGCAAAAAATTGTGGGTTGTATTCGCCGTTGACAGAAACTGTTTGCTGATAGAGTCTGAATTTAATTGCAGTGGGGAGAAGTATTAGAATTGTTTTGGTTATTTTTTAGAGGAATCTGTGCCGTTGAAAATTCACCTGATCTATTTTCTGCCTAACTTAATTTCACATTTTGTTTATTTTGCTGTTTGACGAAATAGATCGGAAACCTTTTATTCCGATGGTTCCATTAAGCATGCAAAACATTTAACGGCTGCTGTTTTTCATTTTCTGTAACCATTACTAGCGATATGAGCATTAGAGCCGACGAACTGAATAAGAGAATCCTTGGAGCGGAAGATGCGGTAAGGTGAATTGTAAATGGGAAGAGTTTTAAATGAAGCAATATAAAGGTCAAAAACAAGAAACAGGGGAGTTAAATATGGTGAAGTACAGAAAATGTTTTGTGATGTTTTTAAGTTTCGCTGTGATAATCTGCTTGCCTTTTTTAATAATACCATGATATCCTAAGACGAAAAGCACTAAAGTTGCAAGCTGTAACCATAATATATGAAATCATTTTTGAACTTTATTCACCTTATATTGAAAGAATTTCAATTTCAAATTGTTCATTGAAATGAAAAAGGTTTCGTCGAAAAAAATACTTTTAGGTTTTAATTAGGGCTAGAAATATGCAAAAGAAGGGCAGACAATAAGGTAATTTAATCTAATTTAAAACACTTCGTGCATCAACCACATTCTTATTTTATTAATTCTTACAAAAGTCAAGTCCAATCTCAGCTCAGTTGTCTTGACAGGCTACACTTCTGCTGAAAACTTATCACAAATTATTTTTTGCCTGCGTTTCTTTGTTTTTTTTTTGGAGTAAGGGATTAGGCGGTGAAAAGAAACCTGATATTAGAAGAACTATACGGCGGTAAAGTTTAAAAAATTTTCAGTATCAGTACGTGTAATTGAAACAAGGTCAAATTCTGTAGGAGTGACGTCTTTAATCTTTCAGCGATTTAGTAGAAAGGTTTAGAACAGAGAGTGAATCTAAGATTTTTTAGGAGGTGTGTGCTGAGCAATTTTAAGTTATTCATAATTAATAAATGATCATTAGAATTAGCGGCGTACAAAGCTTCACGTTCTCGATAGCAAAGGGTGATTCCTTTGCGGCAAGTTCTAGCAGTGAGGTTCAGAACTTCTTAAAGTTTTAATTTTTAGAGAGTAAAGTCCAGATAATACAAAAATAATCAATTTTGCAGTCATATGCGAATTCCAGACTAGCTTATACAGTTTCTTTACGTGAAATCTTAAAATTTTTTGATAATTGCTGTCTGGTAGAACCTAGGGTCTGGAATGACCGAAGAGAGCAGCTGAAAGAGGGAGTTTTTTGCTAGTTTGCCCCCCTTGAAGTGGCAGAATTTGTCTTATTTTCTTGCTCGAAGTACCTGTTAAAGCATTTTTAGTTCAGCTAAACTTTAACTGAATTAAAAAATTTTAAAAATTCTTGTTTTATTAGATTTCTACACCTTTTACTTCCTAAGCAATGTCACGCTTCAATTCCGTAAAAGAGATGGGTAGATACAGCAAAAGCAAACGTTCAAAGAAACATAAAGAACGTTTTTTCAAATTAAGAGAAAACATTTATATAGAAATCAGGACTTGATGATGGCTCTTTGATCAAGTCAAGGATGTGTTGAAAAATGATGGGACGTTTTCTATTCATTGCTGTTTTCAAAATCCGAAGAGAAAGTTACCATAATATGGTATGTTTCGATTGAGTTATTATTGGTTTATTCTAAAAAATATTTCGCACGTTTACAAGAAGACTACCTCGTTGAAATCATACTTTTGAAAATCTGTACTTTCAGGCTGTTAGAAGCATCTTTGTAATCCGCATCGTCAACGTTTTGATTTTACAAGCAAATATCAGTTCAAGTTAACATCTCGAATCTATTTTTTTGGCCAACCTCTCGCACTGTAGTCTTCTAAATTGGAATGACCGTAGCAGAGTTAAATAAAACTTGTTTTCAACATTTGAATGGCTAGAACCACAGGTTCTTTTCATCTCAACAGATGTTAAAAAATCTACGTTTGGGCAGTAAAGTTTGACAAAATTTTTGTATAATCCACAGGTTTCTTTGACTGCTGGTACACTACTAGAAGAATAAAATTATTACCAGGGTTTATGGAGGCCTCCTAAATCAGTCCAACTCAGCAGCATTTATAAAAGCCGTGGAATTTAACTTGACGGCGAGGTTACTGTTTCGCGTCCTCTCTTAGATTTTTCAAACCCGGAACCGAATTCTACTGACTAGGAAAAATTTAAAAATTTTGAGAAATCAAGTGAAAAAGTGACAGGAAATGGTGTGGAGTAACCTATTGCAGTACTGTACTTAACCATATATAGATTCAATACAAGAAAATTGAATAAGCTTTCTAGAGGACCTCAAATTAGAACAGTTCTTAGGCAATTTACTACATTACCTATCTGAAATTTTGGACTAAAACACTTCTTATCCGAATTAAAAGTTGTTCAGAAATTTTAATTCTGTTTTAACCTTTGCTTCGTTCATTTAATTTTCGCCAATTAGATTTGTTCATCAGAAGGAAGTAATAGGTTACACAGGCACTGTGTTATTTATAAAGTGGATAGATTTATAGCGACAAGTTATGATACAAATTCTGACATGTTTCCAGAAGATTAGAAAAAAGTGTCAACGTGGGCGTGAAGGTTCCTGATACCTACGGTGCAATTCCTTCTGATATTATTAAACAAAAGCTGCGAAAGACCGATTTCCTTCTGTAAAGGGTCAGCCTAATGCTTAGATGATGGTGTTGTACAAAACAACTTTCTTTTCTGGATGTCTCCGAACAATTTAGAATTAGTGATTTTAGACATCTGTTTGTTTACTACCGCATCACATGGACTACTGTCATGCAGTTGCGTCAGTTGTCTTTTCCTACACAATATTCTTTTCAAACCCAGCTGTCGTCATCGTATTAAGGTACGATTTGATAGGTTACAGAAGTAGACAAGCTGAAGTGGCTTAGTAAGAAATTGTGATACGGAATCACATCAAGTCTAAAGAAAAATGACTAGCGAAAGAAAGAGACCTTTGCTATACCTCTTGCTGAACCAAAAATTTCACTCATTCAGTCTAAGTTAATTTGTAAACTTAGAATACTGAATGAAGCTTTGAAATTTCCTGTGAATGTTTGAGTAGCGTTTTTTCATTAATGCAAAAATCATCTTTTCACTTTGTTAGACGCTCCAATGGGATTTCAAAACAGCGGTTTGCTGACTGTGGAATGAAATGCAAATCTGTATACGCTTTTTATTTTATTTTATTTTCCTCCCGCTTGTCGCGATAAGTTATAAAAAAAGGACTGTGGAACCAGTATCAAAGCATAATATCTCCAGTAATTGTTCGAAGCAATTTACACTTCTGTAGTAAGAAGATTTGTAACTAAAATAAATCAAGGATGAATGAACACAAAACTAAAGAGTTCGTGCTCGAGTGGTTATTGTGTGGCTTTTAGTGGGCGGCTTTATGGAACTAACTGGGTGAATGCGACCGGTTCACTCTGTGTATTCACTGCCCTGAGACTTGGATGAGGAAGGCAACACCGCCATTGAAAAGACAAGGTTCTTAAAGTAGATCGAACAAACAAACGTGTGAGCTACACAGTTAGATGAATTCAAGAATTACCAAAACACTACTTTTTTCTCTGTTCTACAACGGTAACGACAGCCTCGGCTATTCGAGACTGAAGTATAATCGAAAAGTAGTTTGTCACAGCAGGATTAAGATGATAAGTGGACATCGAAGCGAGGGGCAGAAGAAAGTAAACTATTGAACCGGTTAGCTAACGTAACTTTTGACGAAATCTTACTTTATTGTATCAAAATAGCTATACTGAAGACTTTGTTAATTTTACAGAAGATCAGGTAACGGAAATCTTAGGAAAAACAAAAAGGAAGTCGTAAACTTATATTGCGTCGGCAAAAATCACTGCTCCATTTTGCGCATCAAACTATGTAACCGCTGCTCCTTTACGCAGCTGTATGTCTCTCTGGATATCTTAGCCCTTGAGCTAATGCTGCTACTGTTATTATCGTTGTCGTTGCTTTTGTTGTTGTTGTTGTTGTTGTTGTTGTTGTTGTTGTGGTTGTTGCTATTGTCGTCGTCGACGTAGTCGTCGTTGTTGTGTTGCTGTTGTTGCTGCTGGTGCTACTACTGCTGCCGCTGCTGCTGCTGGTGTTGTTATTGCTGCTGCTGCTGAAGCTGCCAAGATGGGTGAAATGGCAGATATACGCTTAGTTTTCTGTGGCTTTCTACGTTTAAAACAGAACTTTCTCCGCCCAAACAAAATTTTTAACGTTAACAACTGTATTATACACTCAGCGTTGACGATCTGCCGCTGTTGCCATTGCCTCGCTGTCCTCTTATCCCTCTTCCCATCCGTCCCTCGGTTCGTCCGTTGATCCGTTTGTCTAATTCTTTCCATCCTTCTTTCTTCTTTCACCTCCTTACTCCTAAATATCCTCTTTTTTCTTCTTCTTAATCTTGCTGCTGTTATCCTTGTTATTCTTTTTTTTTT